GCCAAGCAAACTTTTTGCGTTCAGATAGCGGCAACAATTGTTTATTTAGACCCGAGCGAGGCAACGACAACAACAGCCAAAGCCAATTACCGTTTTTAATTATTTGTAAATATTTAAAATGTCCGACCGACTTTTCGCTTGGCGCCCGCAGAAAAAAAGTTAAGAAAACCACCGAAAACCTTATCGATTCGGCGACAGAGCAACAGGTGCGCCCATTTGTGGCCAAAGTGCGAATCACACCAAGTCGTAACCTTTTCACGTGTGGAAATATGTCACTACTATATCTAATCTTAAAGGTCCTCACATTTCGCGAATTCCAAACTAATCAAAAATGAGTTAGCAGTAACCAACTAATACAAGTTTCTTAGAAAATTATATCTTAGAAGTTTATTTTGATTACATTTATATTATTGCCAATGTTAAACTTTGAATATAAACATTTTGTATTTCTACAATTTTTTGTATACATTTTAATATATGTATTATATTCTTTTAATAAAGAAATGGTTAAACTAACCATATCTTTGGATCTTCTATCTAAAAAATCAAAGCCGCGTGGGTTATGAACTCCAATAAAAAATCAATAGATCTGAAGTGCACTCGTATTTAAATTTGCAATGTTTTCCGTGTTTACACGTAAGCTTGTTGCTGTCATAAAATCGGCGATTTTTAACTTAAAGAGGAACCCCTTGGCTGACTAATTTTTGCAAATGAATTTGCCATTCGAGTGTTGTCATTCATTCACTTACTGTTTCCTCTTTTCGGCCAAAAAACCTTTTCTTGGTCTTTACAAAATGGGCGTGTCGCATTGCGGTAATTTATTAAGTGCTTTTTTCTCACTCGGTTTAATTGCCGCTCAGATGATTTAGTGTCTTTACTTTCCTCTTTTCCTCTTGTTGTATTTTCTTATGACTTTCACCTCGCCAAAGTGAAATTACGGCCTAATGACTAAACATTTCATTTAATTAGAAGATCCATCGCGCAGATGAAACCGAAACAATAACAAAAGGGCGGAACGCCAAGAGTTTTTTGAACTTTGTGAATGTGTAATCTTGGATCTTAGCTCATTACAGAAATTTGGCAATCGGGTAAATTGATCTGACACCTGAAACCTCAAAGCGGATTACAGCAGTTTAACTTTTGATTTTGATGGATGTGGAGATTTCCGGGAATAAAATTCTTTTGCACGAAATATTTCTGTAATTTTTCGGTGTATAAAAAACGTTGTTTTATAAAAACCCCTGCCGTTATTTTGACATTTTCTGGAAGTTTTTATGTCGAACCCTTTTTGGGGTTCGCTGACTCACCTGGAACCTGCAACATTTCAGCGTTGCAACGTTGCAACATTGCTGCGAATTAATTTATCAAAATGTACCGCTACAATGTCAACGCCAAACGAGAAGAAGAAGAAGAAAAGGAAGAAGAAGGGAAAGAAGTTTGCAGCATTAAAAGGCCATAAATTTGTCGGACAACTGGCCAACTGGCTGTGGACCATCGGACTTCCAAGAAGCTGGCAACTTGATATAACCAAAACCCATAGCCAACGCCAAACATTTCCGAATGCCCACAATTTTTTCTGATTTCTGGCGAGGAAAAGCTCGTCGCTCGTTGCTCGGCGAGACCAAAGTTTGATTTATGCGTTGCGATGCTCAATGGGCGATACAGAGAGCCAAGCCAAGGAAGTAACCGCAGTCAAATTTCCAGGCCCAAACGGCACGACTACCAAATGCGCTCTGCCTGCCGGTTAAATGCAGCCAAACATAAATTATAGGCCACGGCTAAGTAGGAAAACTGTTTGGGCCCAAAACGCGGCACAGTGGAAAATGGTAGATAACAAAGGCCAAAACCCGAATTTTCCTCTTTTAAATGAGTCACAACAATTTGAGCTCAAACCAAGAACTTTTTAAGAAATTTTCGGTTCAAGATAAGCTTGTCTTGATTTTTATCATTGCTCGAAATTTGAGTAGAATTTTTCATGTATTTTTGACAGTTTTAAAATTAATGGGTTCTGTTTCGAATTTTGAAAAGTAACCTATTTATATAAAATTTGATAGGTTTAGATTTAAATCTGGCACAAGAAATACAAACATGGATATACAATATTTTTCATAAATTATTATTTCACACAACTACAATAAATATAAAATGTAGTAAAGGAGTTAAGTATCCTAAATTGGTTGTGAAATTTAATGAAGCTATTAAAAGTTTACCACCAAGCAAATAATTAATTTGAAGAGATTAAGAGTTTATCACACAATATATTTTTTATTTTAATTACTGACTTTGTAGCTCTCAACTAAGACTGGTCATTAAAAATGCATTAATTAAAAGTAACCAAAAAATCTTTTGTTATTTTCGCTTGCTTTTAAAATTCTCCCACAGTGTCTTGCATTTCCCAGCAGCCTTTTCCGCCCCTTCGACTTTCATAATGTTGGCAAACATTTAACGAAAGTCCATAAACACAATGCATATGCCCAGGAACTTCGCCGGCCATATAATGCAAAATTTCCCTCCTCTGCGGATGTTTAAACTCTTGAGTTTTATTTTTTTGTTCGCCGACTTCGATCCGATGCGATCCAGACTCAAAGTCGAAGTTGAAGTCGTCGGATACATGTTGCCGCCGTCAATGTTTCGCCTTTGTCTCGTAAATTTTAACATTTTTATTATAAAAGCCAAGCGAGCAGCTTGACTGCTGATTTCTCACACAATGCGCGCGATTTATTTTGTATGCATTGCGAGCCTGAAATTGATTAATTACAAAGCGGAAGAGTTGCCGATCAGACCGATCAGGTTAAGACCAACACTTTGTTACGATTATTCACTGGTTCATTTTTCAAGCTTAATTTTCTGTATTATTTCGATTTTGTTTTTATTACACCAAGCACAAATCAAGTTGTGTAAACTTCGTGATTTGCTGTGGCCACGATTCTTTGATTGTTGTTCTATTTATTGGTATTCCGAAGGTTTCTGCATTATCTAAATGACACTGACACCACTGACATTTGAAAGTAGTGTAATAACAAGAATGTGTGAATCAATAAAAATATTTAATTGCTGGGGTAACCACATTTTTATGGCTTAAAAATTCAAGCTTACCAAGTGTTACAAAAAATTCAAATAGCAAAATATCTGTTGGTAAAATAAAGCATTAATTTTTTATTAATATTTGTGGTTAGTTCTTGGTATTTTATGTTAATTGTACGATCTTATGAAAACTAAAGTCTGGCGCCCTATAATTTTCCCATGGAATGCAAAACAACGCACTAAAATCTCAAGTGAGAACGAGGGCAATAATATCAGTCGTACTTAATTACTGTCAAGTATTTTGCAAACTTCAAATTGGCATCCTATCTGGGAAAAGGGGGTTTTGAAGAGGTTATCCAGTAAAATGTCAAAACAATTAATTCCAATCGAATCGCGCTAGATACAAATTGGTTTTACTGTCGTAAGAAGTTGAGACATAATACTTTTGATGTCACATGTGTGTTTGCTTTTAATGATTCTGTGTGCCACTTAAATTTCACAGAATTGTCGTTCTTTTTTTAATGCCACCGTTTTAATGAGCTATTAAAATGTTTGGGGAATTGTAGTACATGTGTAAGAGCCAATTGCCTTGTGTAAACAACCCAGGCAGATTCTTGTAAAACTTTATTTTTATGAAGAGGATTTGTTTTATGGAAGATCTTTCCACATAATGAACATCTAATGAGATCAGAGCTATTTATATATTTTTGTAATCCCATATCTTTTCCAAGACCAAACTAATTTTGTGTATTTTTTATTTTCAGGTAAGTTTTGGTTCAACGTAACTTCTTCAATATTATTAACACATCTGTAAGTAAATAACTTGGTTAAATAAACGTAAGTGGTACTTTAAGGTAAATGGATTCATGGATTAGATCATCCTCACTTTTGAAGGGCTTTTAAATGGCACCGAGTTACCATATGTCTTGTTTAAAAACCCTAAAATCAGTAGTCTGATCTCACTTGAACCTAATTAAACGAAACCCTGCCTTCCATAGCCTGAAAAATACGCTCAATTTATTAAGATGTAAGGCCTTTCAGAATTGCTCGACACACTCCATTAGACAGCCGCCATATAAACGCTTCATTTGCCAAATCATTTAACATAATTAGCCGGCAAACACGATATGATCTCATAACCAGTTTCCTTGGCTGCCAAATCCTTCGGTTAATTGGCAAACTAAAACAAGACCAAGAAGAAAGGAGTTCTACCTGTGTCAGTCTAAATTCATATTTCAAACGTGAATTCCGGGAACCGAGTGTGGACACAATATTTCATAAATATGTCTGGCAAAATCGTTTGGCGACTGAAACCGAAGCTCACCTCAATCTCACTTCCTTTTGGCTGAAGTTTCGTTTTTTGGTTTGTTTTTTTTGTTCGGCTTTATTTGCAATCAAACACAAAATGCACAAAGGCATGGAAGAAGCTACATTAACCTTCAAGTCGGGTATTCGTTGGCATTACTTTTTTGACAATTTTCTGAAATGTATTTTTCGTTTCGTTGCGCAAATAAAACAACTACAACCGCTGACAACAGCGACAACGACTCCGAGTTTGTATCTAAAATCAACAAGTTCACGACGACATCACAAGCACAGCCAAAAAAAAAAAAAAAAAAAAAATAGAAATACAGAAAAGATAAAAACTTTAAAGCGTCGGGCAAATACACAAAGATACCCAAACCAATACAAATGCTCCCATTCATTGCCAACAGACCTTTGCTTAGAAGGTAAATAGAACTCCAAACAAAAAGTCATATGAACCTCCTAAAAGCCCATTTGAGTGACAAGCCAAAAAAAAAAAAAAAAAAAAAACAGATAATTCACTTGCTTACTCAATGCCTTTTGGGGGTGGCAATAATCAAATCGGTTTTATGTAAGTTTCCATTGTAAAACTTTGGGTTCTCTTGGCTTGAAGAACCAAATGATAAGATTTAAATGAATAATAAAACTCCAATTAAGAACGAAGAGTTTTGTTACATTTCTATATTGCATTTAATTCTGTATTTATTTACATGACCCCTTTACATATCTGGTTTCCAAAATAATTATATCCATAAATTTAAAACTAAAAAACATCCCAGGGTACACAAAATGGATTCTTGAATTACTTTCAAAGCTGCGAGGAATTTGCCACTCATACAAAACGTGAAAAAACTTCCATTTGGTCCATGGATAAATGTATTAACTTTTTACAACAAAAGAGATTTTGAGATACTTTCTATACCAATCGCCTGGCTTTAAGATCCGCGTATATAGCCGTTTCCCTACACTTCAGTTCCTTTTTGATCCTGGCCAGTTGGGTTCCAATCCGCACGAGTCTCTCCACCAATAGTTGATGTCTCAACGATAAAATATCCCTGAGGTGATCCGTTGCTCGGTAATCGTCCTCGCAAATGTCCTCCAGCTCCAACTTATCATCCAGATCATTCAAGCGGTGCAGCAAGTGATTCAATCTCGTCTGAAATAATTCCCTTTCGACCTTCAAGGCAGTCTCTTCGTCCTTCTTGCGCTCCAACAATTCAATTTCGGATTCAGGAACATATTTCTTCAGATCATCGATTTTCATTGTGAGAACCGGAGTGGGGTTCACTGCCTTTGGTGCCTGCATTTTGTTCACCCCAAAAAAAACAACGAATAATTTAGTAATGTAAAAAAAATGATTCGATTTTCTATATAAAAAACTTTTAGATTTCCCTAGAGCACCGTTTTGCTTTACGTTTTATATAGAACTGATATTTGAGGGAGCTGTGTCTGGGAATTGATTTACTCAAGCCTGCTGCCTTTTGAAATACTTAAATTTTTGAGCTTCTAGAAAGTTTGTTAAATGAAATTGAAGCCCGAAGACGGAATTCGGCAGAGAAGTGAGTAATGGCATTGGAAATCGATCGCCGGCGACTTAAATTTCGCACCTTTAATTGCAATTCAATACATTTTATTGGCAGCCTCGTGTTGCCATTGTAATTGATATCAGTCGAATACTTTGCCTTCGAGTTACAGCTTACATACTTAACCGCAATTCATGTCAAGTTGGGGGTTTTATTTTCAACCATTTTATTTTGAGGTTTCTTTAGGTTATTTAATGATCACTCAGGGGGTAGTTAAAGTTGTAAGCTAAACTTCAATAGAAATAAATAAAATAAATAAATATAAAATTTCTAAAAATGTATTTGTATAGCTTTAAATTCTTGTTTTCTGAAAACCAATCAATTTATTTGGAAACCTTTGACTCATTTTTTGCCTTGGCTTCCTGCAACACCAACTCTTCGATTTTTTTGAGATTCTCCTCGATCTTCTGCCTGTGGAGCTGTTCCTCTTTGCTCAGCTCCTCGGCATTTGGTTCCTGTTTTTCCAAGGACTTTTCCCTGCCCTCGGCCTTGCTATCTCCTTGAGTGCGTCTGCCCATCGGCAATCGAGTTACCATATGGCGGGGAATCCGTATCTCAGCTCCAATGCGATTATCGTTTTTGTACTGGCCAACAGCGCGGATGAATGGCTTCAAAGGACATCCTTTGCTCTTGGCCTCGTCCATCAACTGGCGAGCATAGTCAAAGAAAAAGGCATCCTCGCGTAGCTCCTCCAATTGAGCTTCTCTATTGTAGTTTGTACCTGGTCGAGTTTCCTCCTCAACTCGTTTTTTCACCTGTTCATCGAGTTCTCGTCGGAGTTCTCTAATGCGATTTAGTTCATCTTGTCGCTGCTGCTGTTTAAATTTGACATTAGTTAGATCGTTTTGAAGGCGTAGCTTCACTGCCTCCTGGCGATCCTTTTCAGCCTGTTCCCTTATCTTTCTGGCCAATTCCTCCTCCTCTTTTTGAATGGCCAAACGAGCGTTTTTAGCCTGCTCCCTTAATTGTTTCTTTTTGGCCTGCTCGGCACTGTGGATTTTCCGCATTTCCTCCAATTGTCGCTGGTGGCGTTCCTCATCCTCGCGAGCACTGTAATGAAGTCGAGGAGCCAACTCTTGGGCCAGTTTTTCATTTCTCCGAATGCGTTGCTCCACTCGCTCCTTGGCCCTGTCCCTTTTGAGTTTCTCCAAATAACCTTTGGCCTGGTTGTGGACATCGCACTGCACCTGTTCCACCTCCTCGAGCATCAGAAGGCGCTTTTGCTTCTGCTCGGCCATGGCCAGGGAGGCCAGAGCTGCCTCTCTCTTCTGGCGCTGCTTCTGGGCAATCTGCTCCTTTTCCTTATCCTGCTGATCCTTTAACATCTGCTCGTTGCGCCTACGCTCTTCAAGGGCTTCCTCCAACTCCCTGGCTTTGGTGGCCTGAGGGTATAAATAAAAAAAAAGGTTTTTAGATTGATTAAAATTTGATTGGAATACAAAAAATGTTTCCATGTTTTAAGAATTAAATTTGAGATGAATTGATTATTATTTATTATCTTAAGACTAAAAAAGATGTGAACAGAAAATAAAGTAGATTTATACCGAACTAAACATATGTGAGACACTTAAAAAACACTTTTAATAAGTTTGTTGACTATTTTTTATTTAAACGTCATGCCATAAATTTTTTAATTCATTACTAACGTTTATAAAAACCTTACCAGCTAATTAGGTAGATAATTATGCACATTGTAAGATGTTTTCAAGTTGATTCTGAGTCAGATATTTAAACGTGAGTTAACATAAATTTATTGTCTAGCTTCAAACAAAAAATGTAGAAAACGTGTAGATAACATTTCGTTGATATTTTGTGGCAAAAAATAAGTGATAATAATATGTACTAAATGTGCTTTTAAAACCCACCTGTCTTTCCTTTTCCCTCTCCTCAATTAACTTCAATAACTCCTTTTTGTGTTCTCCCAACTGCTGGCATTGCTCCTTGTGGCGCTGTTGAGCCTCCTCGAATCCTCGAAGGACTTGTTCCTGGAAGATCTTCCTGTCCAGTTCCTTCTGCTTCTGATTGGCCTTGTCAAACTCCGCTTGAACTTCCCTCTGAACATTGACACTTCGCATGACTTCACTTTGCAATCGGGCACATTGTAATTCTCGGGGACCAGGACGCAGTTGCTCCAGAAGTTTCTGGGCCTTCTCAATGCGTTCCTTCTTGGTTTTCTGGTGCTCCAGGCGAGAGGCCTTCGTCTCCTCCTCCGCCAGTCGCTTTGCCTCCAAGTGCTGCTCCTCCAGCTGCTTTAATTCACGGGCACACTCCTCCTCCCTCGAAATGCACAAATTCCTACCAGCGAATTTCCGAAGGAGCTCCTCGCCTCCAATCCGCAGTTTCTCATCCGCCTGGTTGCGCAGCTCCTGCTGATGCAGCTTCTCCTTCTTGGCTTCCTGAAAGGCATTTGCACGGATTCGCTGGAATCTGTTGTTGGAGAGCACCACCGGTGGCTTTTCCCGTACAATTGGTTCACGGCGTTCTTGAGGCAGCCAGCAATATTGCATTGTTCAAAGGTTGTTTATTGACTGGAGTTTTGTTTAACTGATTTCATCTGTAAGTTGTGGGGTTTCCATGGCCTTTGTTTTGTTTGGTAGTCAAGGGAGGAAGTTGATGGTAGCCTTGGAGTTCCTAAGTAAATAGATCTTCTATACGCAAAATACAAAAAATGCTTTGAGCTTGTAATGGATTTATATAAAATTCTTATAAAAAACTATTATGATTATTAAGTTGCCAAATAAATAAGAATAAATATGTTAGGAGTATATTAATTCTAAAATAAAATTAATATTCTACTAATCTAACCATTTACCAATCTAAAATAACCCTGTAATACCCCGATTTAATCACTTAATTTAGCTCAAATCATCGCAACTCATCATCCCACAAGTGTCGTAAGCGAAATGCCAAAACAGAAATTGTCGAGTGTTGGCCACATTTTGAGTAGTTTATTTTAATTAATTAGCTTTGTGTGCACAGTTGGCTGTGCACACCGGTGTCCAACACAGCGACAGGTTACTGTCAACGCAAATGGCAAAGATTTTGCTTTGATGGCTTAATTATGTCCAAAAGTTATGTTGAGGCCATTTGGCATAGTCGCCATAGTGGCAGTGACAGGTTTTGTGATAAAAATTGTTGATGCTTTTGGCAATTACATTTAGCCACTTTATTTTCGGGGGAGCCATTCAAGCCTAACCGATCCAATCTGGTGTGGTTAGTTTTCTGGTTTTGGACTCGCTTCAAGTTTTCCGTTCACAATTGTCAACTTATTTCCCCAACCAAAAAAGAAAATGAGGGCCAATCCCTAAAGGGCAAATCTATTTGGGCACGCTTCATTTGGCTCGTATCGGATCATTGAAATCGTAGATTTACTCCAAAGGGGGTTTAAATAAATTTAATTAACACCTGGCTGTGAATCCGTACAAAAACACCGGCACATTGGCCCGTTTACGAACTTTGGGAATATTCATTTCAATTTTGAATTGGGTCAGTGCTCCGCTTTTGTCGCTCGTTGTTGGGGTTCGTTTTTTTTATATCTATCCAAGCCACAGAAAAATACACACGAACCCATGACGGGGCGATAAAGGGGCAGGCCCAACTATTTACCCCGAAATCCAGGTTATATTCAAACATTATCGCAGCGCAAGTCACTTTAAGCGCTGAAGGTGTTAAAATGCGGTCAGTTTGCAGGGATCGGTTGTTCTAAGAACTATGAAAGTTTAGTGGCCATTAAGTTTAGGCCATGAGCTGGTGGCTTTTGGGGGTTATTTATATATATATTCTTTTGTTATGGAAAATTTTATAAAAAATTTTATAGAAAAAAATACGTTAAGAAGGGGATATTCATAACCAATTTTTAGAAGCAAATATCACTTGCTTAATTAAATGCTTTGCAATTTTATCTATAAAATATTGTATTCATTTTAATATATTTATTTTTACCCAAGCATTATCAAATTGTTTTTTTTTTATTTCTGTAATGAGATCTTAATTTGTCACTGCTTTCCACTTTGTTATTCAACACCATTTGACCCCTTTTCCACCCACTTGAGATCAGTGTTAGTCAACTTCTTAAGCATTTAGAGCACTTCACAGTTTCCCAATGCTTATGACATGAAGTGGTCTATAACTTGCGCACTTACACCATCTGAATAGCGACAGCAGCAACAAGAACAACAAGAACACCTCATCGGAGACTGCGTCAAGTACCCGATTCTTATCTAATCGAAACTTATTGGCTCCCCATAGACTTTGCCTGATACCATGTAAATATACGACTGCCCGTGGTTCTACTTTGTCTTCGTGCCCAGAAACGAGTCAGAAAGTCAGATAGTCAGTCAGTCGGACAGTGGGATAGTCAGAGAGTCAGATAGCGAGACATATATCACTTGATCTTCAAGTGCGAATGACAGCTCCGAGTAGGAAAGACAAGAGACCGAAGAACGAAGACTGGAGAGTGAAGAGCGGAGACCACAAGCCTTTCGCCTGTCCACGACTACCGTCCAGTTCGTTGCTTCCACTTGAATGACTTCATGTGCCCCCGTCGGAAAACTTGAAAAACTTGTCTTTGTCTCCAGAGTTTGCCAGCGTTGGCCAGAGGCTGGGGCAAAAAGGCACTGAGGCGGCCATAAAGCCACACGTACTTTAGTAGTAGACACTACTTGCACTCGGCAACTTGAGAACTTAAGAACTCAAGAACTGGAGAAGTCGGGAAGTTGGTAAGTTGGGAACTGGAGAAGCCAAGAAGATCAAGAGCAACAAGAACGACTGGGCCAACAAATGAGTGCAACTGTTTTAGCCCGAACCTGCAGTCCAGTTTACACTGGAAACCCAAAGAAAAGAAAAGAAAAGATAACAGAAGAATGAACAGAAGAAACAGCATAACAATCCCTAGTGGATTCTTCGGAGATACTCTCTGCATCTGTATCTTCCGGCAATCTGCAAGTTTTTCTTTCTTATTTTTCCTCTCTTCTGGCGGCTTGAAGCAATTAACATGCAATTAAGAGACGTTTCAATCTCAAGAGCCATGGCCAAGACATCGTCGTAAACACTTTAAACGGTGGCAGGCAACAACTTTTGATGAGCCGATCTGGCTTCTCATGAAGGTTCTAATTATAAAGTTCCAATCGTTAAGCAGCGCTTCCATAGAAAGTTTTTTACGACAGGAAATTGATTGGATGTTTTTTTTTTTTGAGCCAAAAGAATTACACACAGAAGCGGTGAAAAATGTGCGGGTAATTTATAATTTATAGAACTTTGGCACACGATCAGTCATCAATCAAGGCACACACCCTAATTTCTATCAAACATATGTACATCTTAAAAAACAAACTGCGTTTGTGTCTACAAAACTCTGAAGTTCTATTTCTGGACATTATCATTTTGCCTTGTCATATGTTCTTTTTGTACAACTGATTTACAGTTTTGATAGGCATCTTATATAAGAGAACATTGCCATTTCTTGTCTGCGATCTTGAATATGTGATCTTGAATATAATATGTACCCATGTTAAAAAATGGCTTTGATTTATTGACCTGTCGGTCAACCGATTTACAAGCAAAGTCAAGAACAATAAGTGCCAAATACTTGCGAGGCTTATGTCATCTTGTAATAAAGTATACTTGTAATTGTCTAGAATTTTAGTGAACTAAGTTTGTGCCCGATTCTCAGCTCCACACAAAAATAAACTCAATCGAAGCGAGACGCAAACTTATGTTGAGGCTTTTCAATTTCGAGGGGTTAAATCAGTTGAACTCTTAATTGTGTATTTTCATTATCAATTGAAGCGTTCCATTCTTTTCACTATAAATACGCTTGACAGTCCAACTTTGTTTAGTTCATTATATGTATATAGAATAGTTGATTTCATAGGGCGATATGTGTGTGGCGCAGCTATTAAGTTTTCCATGCCAGTTTGCCAACAAAACAACATTTCAATGTCAACTCGATCACGTTTTCGGAGGCAATTTGTTGCTGGATTATTTTGAATTTGATACACTCTAAAGAGCGTGGCAAATTGCCCAAGTGGCTGAGGTTCACATTGAGATTGGAGGGGAGTGGAGTGGAAAGTCTCGGTCTTACATGAGGTTTTACACTGGTTTTGTCATTCACTCGAGAGTCAAACACCTGAGACTCTGATTGAGTAACTATAACCACTCGATGTTGGTCGCAAGTCGAGCCATTAGATCTTCTTTTTTGCTATATGCTCATGTTGTGTCGATAATCTGAGGTTAATCTGGTTGGGCTTGGTTTTCCCTCAGTGTCATTTCAAGTGCTCACCGATCCGTCGATCTTGCTCCATTAATCATGTGGGTAATGTTACCAAAAGCTAATGTTTCAAGCTGCTAGGGATGAGTTAGTTAACCATGTAATTATTAGGTCGTTTTGATGTAAGGTCAGTTATGAAAGCGGCTTACTGCTAACTGAAGTAATTTCCATTGTTTTATGATCTGCAATCTGTAATCCATCCATCAGTTCGCCAATTGATGACTCACTTAAAACAATGACAGTTAAAAATATTTTTAAATTCCCTATTGACTTTATCACTTTTTGTTTTGCCAACGATGCCAATTAAAGCTGTCAATCAAAGAATTACAAAAGTGTAACCGAATATTCTATCCAAAGGATTGATTTCACAAAAAAATACTCCACCAGCAGAGCTGATTCTCTTTGATTCTTACAAATAAAAAGTGAAATCAATCAATCAAAAGGCATTAAAAATCTCATTTTAAGATACAAAAACCGAAGAAAAAAAAAACCGAAATCAACTCCAACGGCGAGGCCAATCACACGCTCTATTTACAGCAAATTAAAAATTCAGAAACTACAAAAACAAAAGCCGAACACGAGGAAACAAAAACGATAAAACTGGTACAAATATTGGTCAAAATATTTACCAGCCCCGCCCAGAGAAAGAATTGATTAATGATCGCCAGAACGGAGCTGAGAAAGTGCCTCAAACGCCACAATAAACGGCAAAAGATCGAAAGGGGAAATTAAATCTTACACACATTATAGACACCAAATGAAATGAAAGATACAAATAGGGATTACATGGAAATGCACTCTGAGAAAATTTGGATTAAATAAGGGAAAAAAATTAAAATTCTGTTTTTTTTATATTTCAAAAAACTTTAACATTAATTATAAGAATATAACATTTTTTAATAAATTAAAATAAGTCAGCTTTGATACTTAAATTACTTGTACGAGCATTTCTTTTATTCTATTCTATTTTATTTGTTTATTATTTTAAAACTGGGCTTGGTACTTAGTAAAAGTTTGCTTCTATAAACTGATATTTTTTGTTGTTCTTTAATAATAATTTTCTGAATATCATAATTGTATTGCTGAGTGTGTGGCATCCACTCGAAGTGGCGCCCACACGTGTTGGCCATCCTCATTTGGTATGCTGCCTCCGAAGTCTTGTGGCAGATTACCATCGATGGCGTCGCGTAACGCGCCAGACAAATGCTGAAAACTTGTCAATTCCTGGAGGGGGAATCAGGGTACCCATATGGGTAATTTATGCAGATTTATGCCCAATCCAGTTGAAAGAAATATTTTATAATTTTCTGTTTTAAGCCTCTGCAAAAGTCTGCGGACTCCAAAGCCGCTTTTTCAGCCCATTTGCATAATGGACCAATGTTGGCCAGAAGGAGGTTCTTAGATCAGTAGCCAAAAAACCAGAAATAGTTAAAAGCTCTTTTGCGAGAACCAGCAACAAATACTGCTAATGATGTGCTAATGTCGCCAACGATATTTGACAACCAAAACAGAAATATTGTTTTAACAAATTATGGTGATAGACCCAACATAGAAGACTTGTGCCGAGCGGCTCTTTAAATCAAATAGCCTTAAACTTGAGTATAATATTGAAGATGGCTATCAGTAAATTAATGAGAAACTGCTACCTTATTATTAGTTTAAAAAAACATTTGCAAATAACATATAAATAGATATATGTTTCTATTAATACAAACTGGATTATACTTCTTGGAAAACAACTTATTTCCTTGCTCACTTTTTGCAAATAATTAATTTTCTCTATTCCCACGTTCTACCGAATTTAGCATAACCAAAATAGATTTTAGCACATTTAGCTACATTTATTAACTATTAAGATAGCATCGTTAATTTATGTTCAAACATGACATTAGCAAAGCAAATTTTTTTAGATTTATTGCTAAAAAAGTTAAAGTATTGTAGAGTTGAAAGAACTATCGAAATAAAACAAATATTTTTTTTTATAGATTTCTTTCTTTTATTTTGTAGTTTTTAGGTCTACTAAATTAATTCGTTTTCGATGAAAATGCGTAATTAATATAGGCGGCTTGTTTGGTTTTTTAGTATTAAAGAAATTCGAATCCCAAATTAGCCACTTAATTTCATTTAATTAATCTCAGTCTAATTTTTAACCCCAAAGGGGGAATACAAACTAAAGCCGACCGACTAGTTAAGCAGATATAGGATGAGACTTTTCGGCAGATGATATTTCATCTGCATAATTATGCATTTTAGTCCAACCGATTATGCATAAGACTAATGCCACAAGGTCGATTCGGTGTGGAAGTCTTTTGTTGATGGAAAGTTAATCTAAATCGATTGAAATGAATTTTTAAGCGATGACTTGGCTTTGTATTGATTCGGAATGTTTTGGTTTTGTTTACAAAAAACGTTTAAAAAAAAGATCTTATATTTCTGATATCAGTTGTTTATGGATTTGGTGGAACGGAATGTGTAAAAGCTGATTTCTTTTTAAAGTATTTTGTAAGCTGATTTTAATATTAACTAAATTAATTCAAATAGGAAATAAAGCGCTATTAATTTAATGCTTAAAGTATTCGCCAATTAATTTTATCAAATACCATTTTAAGAAACTTAAAATCTTAAGCTTGGTTAAGGATTTTAAATACTTATCTCTATCACATTACTTTTTGCATTGCATTCTTATGCACATTGCGAAGTTTTTATGATTCCAACTTCATGTTTTTTACAACCCAATAAAAAACGGACGTATGATTTATCTGCTTTTATCACCTGTTATTCATTCCCACCTCGAACCCGCATAATGCAGGCAATTATGGCCTAACAAATTGCCCACCTCCGATCGGCCATATAAACGCAAAGCGAAGGCGATGCACTAAATCTTTGGGAACTCAAGACTCTGGCTAAATGCAGCCTACAAGCCCGCATTAACTTTGGGCGACTGATCGATGGTCGCTGCCAATTATGGACAGTGATCTCTGGACCACGGCTAAAACCACTCCACTCAAAACGACCACGATGACTGCGACGACCCAAAAAAAGCCAACACTCGAAGACTGTTTGTCAAAAACAAAAATGTCTCATGAATGGAATGGAACGTAACTGAATGATCGAGTGAATGAATCGAATGAATCAGCTGTGAATGCAGCTGGGGCGTATTGGAAATGAATGAGTTACCCGATAGACGAGGTGGCCAGCTTGTCTGGGCCGATTTTCTGTGCGTGGGTTTTCCCCCCCAAAAAAAAAAAAATCTGCACTCCACTCAAAGCTACAAAAAAAAAAACCAAATAGCAATAAAAACAGCAAACATTTTTTACAAGTACGAAATCCCGCGGCATTGACTTGGGTGCTTGTCGTCTGGTGGGTTGGATACTCGACGTCTTCCACAATGAAATTGTCACTTTTCATTCGTTTTGGCGGTTTCAGATTCGAATTCGGAATCGGGTTCTCCAGCTCTTTAAAAATCGCACTGCCCACGTTGCAGCGGAAGTGCCATTTGATTTATTCGCATTGGGTGATTTTATTTCTGTGTATTTACTGCGTGTGTGTTGGCAAATTTCCGGCCGGCTTGACACACATTTGAATTTGCATGTGTCTCGCACAATTTTTAAGTGCCATAAATATTAATTTGCGGCCATATACACATATAGATTTGATTTGGCTTTGACTAATGGTGACATTTCACTCACCGATCACCTCAAGATGGTGTCTTAAACACATGGCACATATGGCCTGAACTTGTTGTCTTTGCCGCCTTTCCGGGAATGTGGGTCAATGCTAAATGGTAGATAAAAGAAAACAAATTTGGAGTGTGGTGAGGAAGTAGAGAGTTAAGGTTGTGGGATGCTTTAACACATGGGAACGGTTAAACTTTGAATGGAAAAAGTGTACTTAAAAGTGGTTTTTTATTGTGAGTTGGGCATATCCTGTTTTGCAGAGAAAATATGATCTTATAGAATAGACTAAAAAAATCCTAAGAAATATAAAATAGTAAGAAAACCAGAAGCTGCTCAAATTACTTACGATATAATATAATTCTTACTTAAGCTATATTTTTCATTATTATTATTGATTGAAAATAATGAATTCAGAAAGAACATGTCTTCTTTTAATAAATGAAAGTATTTTATTTTGAATAATTTTATCAGATATATTTCCTCGAAAAATCAGTATTTCTAATCAATTTATTTTTCATTTTCCCCTGTGCATTTTCATGGGTTTTCCCTGAAAAGTGAGCGAAGCCCTCTGCGCAGCGGTCCGTACATTTTCAGTTGCTGGCCGGTTGGCAACGCCTCGTTTTTCCCGCCCAGTCTTTTGGCCGCAGGCTACGCTTAGGTAACTCTTCTCGGCCAAACTCAACTCACGTTTTCACGAACTGCGAGAGAGCGCATCAAAGTGCAGAATCTCACGAAATTTGCCATTCGAGCGGCCATTTGGGTTATTTATGGTCACTCATTTAAGCGGACAGCTCTCGCGGTTTTATGACACATTTAACAGTTCGTTTCTGGGTTCACTTTACGGGCTTTCGCAAAAAAAACAAAAATAAAACAAAAAAATATATAAAAAGTTAACGCATAACTTCCAGAAACGAAAAACCACTGAGAAACGTCCAATTTCGCGCTTAATTTGATTTGTTTTTGTTTGTTTTTTTTTTTAGCTTACCTGCCTACCGTCTTATTTTTCCTACCATTTCTACCTTTCTCTTGGGTTTGTTTTCTTTTATTTTGTCACCATTTCTCTAAGGGAAGGGTTTGTTAAAGCCAATCCCACAAAATGCTTAAGGCTTTGTTTAAATCCGCACCGACTGCTTCGCCAGAATAATGCAAATTTAAGTACACAGGAATACCGGTATAATTATAGATCGCTTCGATTCACTTCCGACTCGCCGGGAAGCTGACTCATTCGAAAAGCAACGATGACAAACAGTATCCACTTGGATACCGCTCTCGAAATAACAACAATGAAAACCATGACCCACGCAAAATGTGCACGTCAAAAGGCGAAAGAAACCCACTAACAAGAAATCGTGTAATAAAACAAAAAATATAACAACACTTTCTACCCACGTTGTGAACTTGAAAATGTTTTATCCAAACAAAGCCCTTCAAAGTGATCAAAAATAAAGCACAATATAAAATTTATGTTTAAAGCAATTAAGCATAAACAAAACAAAAAAAAAACCAAAGTCAAAGCAATTTACTAAAACTTGTATTTAAACAGAAAACAATGGAAAACTGCTGCTGTGGAAAGAAAAGGTTCCTTTTCACTGGAAACTCATTTGCAGAGCACTCAGAAAAATGTTAAAAATTTATTTTATAATAAATAAATAATGTAAATAATAAAATAATATTTGAACACTTTCAATATTATTTTAAATTAGCCTCCTATTTTTTTTTAGTCTGTAGTACCTTTTATTGGATTAATAAAAAAATTAAATATAGAAGATTACTTCTTTGGAAGATGGTTTTAAGTCTTTTTATATTTTTTTTTGCTAGAGTATTAAAAGTTTAATTATATTTTTTTCTTAGAATATTTAATGTTTTATTTTAAGTGTGGTCTTGTTGTGGTTTTTGCTAAAACCTAATTGAGGCTGCAAAAAGCTGTCGATTGTGGTTGTACTGGTGGCCAGTGGTCGGTGGTCGGTGGTCAGTGGTGCTTGGTGTTTTTTCTTTGGTGGCAACTGGTAAATGGTCCATGGTCCGTTGGGCGCTCACTTCAGGCATGAATTGATTTGGCTTGAATCGGAGTCCAGTCGTCTGTCAATCAATTGTAATGAATACGCATTTTTCTATGGGAGCTCGACGGGAGTGTTGTCCCCCCTTCTCCCCTTCCCCTCCGCCTTGACCATCATTCCCCCGCTGGGTCAGATGTTTCTCCACTTAACCCTGAGCTGTCCAATCAGCATGGCGAAACCCCATTTAGAATAACCCTGACCTGCCCTGCGAATCAGAAATAATTATTTAAAATACTTTTACTCATTGTTGGTAAAACTGTACACAAAAAATAACGGTTTTTTTTTGTCTATCTTATCCATTAAAATGTTAAATTGTTTTTGTGCGTAATTAGGCTATTTTATTTGTATTATAAATAAATTTTACAAAGTGGCTGTTTTAGAAGATCACACTTACTATATTCTTAAACACCTATACATTTTCAGTTTAATATGTCTCTACAAAAAATTGTATGTAGATTTTTAAATCATTTTATATGCAAAGCTTTACCTAAAACCTCTTCGCGAAAAAACTAGAGAAGCTCGTGCCCTTTTGTTTTGATTTGTATTTTTTAACGGGTCATAAAATCAGAAACCAGTTTGTGTGATTTTGTCATATAGGTGATATAAAATTAACGGCTTCACGGTTAGCCCTTTGGATATGGAATCTTCTTTTCGTATTGCGTCGTATGACAGCATTTCCAAGGCTTGGGACAAGTATCTACTTCGCCACTCTCGAGTTCCATCCAATTCAAACAAGTGAGGTTGTAATGAGTGCCATTTCTCCATTTCTCATTAACGCAAGTCCCGTCATTATTGCAATCTAAAAAAAAGTAATTTTTAAGGATTTTTTAATAGTTTTAACTAGCTTACGTGTGAAAAATTTAGAATCAGCAGGATAAATGAAAAGTATGGACACCAATATCAGCCATACGAGAATCATTTTCAAAAAGGCAATGAGTTAAAGTAATACAGAAAAAATTGAAATTAAAAGTGTAGCTAATTTAGTTTAATATAATTCGTTGCGTTGTTAAATTCACTGCAACAAACCTTAGAAAAAGGAAGGTATTTTAAAGATTTAAAATTGTAAAAGGTTGTAGCTTCTTCCTGGAGTTGTTGGTAATGTTACTACCCCCATTTGATTGTTTTTGATCTTTGTAACTGAAGAATTCCCTTCTTAGATTCCCACATTCCCCTGAGAACCAATTTGCTACTTATGTACTTACAAATTTGAATTTGTGGCTAACCCGCCGCAACAACAGTGATCATCATGCCGCATTCCAAAGGCATTCCGCTGGGAATCGTTTCGGCTAAGGGGAAAAACCGCAAATTGAATTAGGCCCGAGTTGGGCATTAAGAAAATAATTTGCAAGAAATTACATAAAGGAAAACAAGTGCCAGCACAAGAGCGCAGACAGACAGATGCAGACACGCAGATATATCGCCCACACACCTACTATACCCAACTACTATATAGCCGTACGATCCGCGGTTTGCCAATTTAGGTGAAATAAAACGCCCACATGGCAACGCAGCAACTTGGAAGCTTTGAGGGGGCAAACCGGCAAGCGACTAACATTTATTTGCGACCGAAAAGAGAGAGAGGGGGAGGGAGGAAAATGCAGCGGAAAATTCAAATCAATTTAGCGCAGACCGCAACTTTGAGCTGCGAGCTGCAATGAATAAAATCCAATGAACAGCAAACTAACCGCCGTCGAGAATTGTGCCGCGCATGCGTAGAAAAAAAATAGGGAAAATTGAAAGGGGAGAAGGCGAGATCCCTTGCGGTAGCTAACCTCGCATAATTTAGCAATTTAGATGTTTTTTCTCTATTGTTGCACTTTTTTAACAAGAGAGTGCATTGGACTCGGCAGCAACAAGCCACATAAATCAGCCACAGCTGGGATCTTTTTCCATTTTGGCCATAACTTACGGGCCAAGAATTGCGAAACGGCATCCACGCAATTAATTTGTTTAATACCCATGAAATTAAGTATATTTCCACGGTCCATAGAACAAGGTGCGTGTCTGAGCCTGATAAATGCATATAAAAATGTTAATGTTTCTACAAGCAAGTAACTCCTGGACAGCCCACACTCTTTATCAGATCTACTTCCACGGGAAAAACTTAAAAAAAAACTGAAAGAAGTTGGATACGTAGAACATTGCAGGAGGCAGGAAATGCTTACATATTCCCACAGGATGTCATCAATTTAAATGGAGATAAAAAGCTAAATGCATATTATATAATAGCTATGCACATATATTTCAGAGATAGGAAGCTTAAATGTAATTAAGAAACTGGGGGAAAATTATATATTCCATCATTTTAAAAGTATATAACTTTTAATTGGTTCTTTAATATTGAGAAATAATCTAAATATATTGAAATATCTGTAAAATGTGTATAATTATTTTGATTATATCATCTAGGTTTTTAAAATACAAGTCTAGTTAGCTTTTCACTGAATAGTTTCCCAGCCCACACAGAAAATTGTAACCTGGGAGGACAGGCAACAAATCATCATGTCCAGCAGGTGACTTGACTTCGACTTTGAGATAACACTTTATCGATTGCATAAGTACAAATGGCAGACGGCCAGTCGGTTTTCTGCTGTTGGCCAAGATGGTTCCCCCGAACAACTGGAAGGCTTTTGCATTCCCGTTTCCATTCGGGACTTTCAAGAGTGGGAAACAAGCAACAACCAACGACTTCGACAAACGCCAACGAGAACCACGTCCGGTCGGCTGGCAAAGTGGATTACAAGCGCATGGGCTTCGACTCTAAATGCGAATGCGAATGCGACTTCTACTCCAACTTTTATTTCCATATCCACAGCCATTCATGCCCACTTGACAAAAGCAAAACAAAAAGGAGTATTTAAAGCTAATAAGTCGACTGTGGCATACCTAATAATATCGTTTAAATGGGTTATGCAATATAGCAATTTTTGGCTTTACAAATTTTTTTTTTTTAATATAAAAATAATTTAAATTATAGAAATATTTCCCTGTCTATCAAAATCCTAAGATGATTCAATAAAGTGTTTAGTAGAACACCTTAATTGTTCAAAAATATTATCGAAATGTTTTCTGTTTAAAAGTTATTTTGTTGTATTAAAAATTTAACAAAAATAAAATTGTTTCAGAAAATATTTTGAATATTTAAAGTATAACGTAAAATTGTATAATTTTTATAAGCTCACACCTTTTTATTGCATTTTTCTTGTTCTTATTCTCTGTAAGTCCAACTTACTCCTAAATACCTAAAAACAGGGTAAACAAACAGGCAACGTTTTTTCGCTTATTTATTGCAAATCAAAAGCCGTAGTTTGATATTTTGTTCGCCGGTTCTCTGCTTTTTCCGCGTGGGCAGTCGCAGCTGCCTCTCTGTCCTCTGGAATGGAGAGGAATCGAAAGGAGGCTCTGGGTAAAAAAGAAAAAGAGGAGGAGGCAACCGCAGCCCACATGGATTCGCTTATCTTTGAACTTCACGGGCAGCGTCGACTTCGGATGATGATGGCATACAGTTGACCATGCCAGTGCGTGACCCCCTTTGCGAAGAGCCAGCAGCACATGGCACAACCCATGGACAACTGTTCCATCAACAAGTGCGCCTGCCTGACATTTGTTTGGCCGCAGACAAAGCCAATTTGCATACTGCACAAAATGTCAAATTCATGTCGTGTGCGCAGGCGCAACAGCAGAAAAAGCAGCAAAACCACCAGATGCCACAAAAAAGCGAGGGAAACTTTTCATAAGGGGTGGAAAAATGCATGTTGGGGTTGCAAGTGACTAGCTGCAACTGCAACTGACGTCCTCAAATTGCAAACTTAATTGGGGAATGCGAAACATCAGATGACAGTTAATAAATTAAATTTTTAAAGCCACAAATTGCCTATATATAGTGACATGTTTTTTTGTCAACTGCGATGGTAATTTTGAAAATAATAATAAAAGTTTCTTCATAAGATTATTAATTTTAAGACTCTTAACACTGTAGTTTAAATTAAAACATGATTACTGCATTAAAAAGTAAGCTATACATCGAGTAAAAAAAAAGTTGTTCCCATTGCTTCGCAATTCCGCTGAAGCCAATTGATTGTCAGCAATTTTTTCACTCAAAATTTGTAAACAAAAAACAAATAAACGAACGCAAATGAAAACGCTGACGATCGGTGGCCGGCATTTTTACATAATATTGACACAGAAAGACAAAGTGCTAATAGAAATAATAAACCAGGCAGGCGGCGTAGATTAAATCAATTACGAGAACGAACCGAGTGCAGTCAAGAAAAGAATTCCGCTGATTGCGGCACGGCTTTGGATTAAATGGCCAGTTTGTGGGTAGAAAAAACTCTGAAGGAGGAGAGCAGGTGCAGCTGAAAAGCCAAGCGAACGATAAACGATCCTAAAACAAAAAACTGAACTGGCGAATACCTCTTTTTGCCAACTGAGATTGGGTCCAAGACAATTGACAGTTGCTCCAACGAGATTTAATTGACAGAGTCAATTTATGCAAACGGTGGCCATAAAACAAGTGCAACGAGATTTGTGTATTTAGATTTGAATTTGTTACTGTTTTTTTCGGTGATTCGATCTGGTTAGCAGTGGAAAATGGCATCTGAGCCACAAGACTGAAAAGGGAATTGAAATTAATGGGAGTGCTGTATTGTCTTATTAACAATGGTAACGAAATAAAATATTCAAAGTATATAAAAGCTCCTGAAAACATTTTATATATATATTCCTTTTATTTCTGAATTAGTTCGCATGTTTTTGATACCACAATAAAATATCTTAACAGATAAATATATCATAGAACACAAAAAAAATTAAAGCTAAAATCCTTTAAATTATGTTTAATAGTATACGCAAACTTAATGACATAATTATGATTATCGAAATTAAGGGTTCTTAAACTCATTTTATTGCCCATGATGTTTATTATAATAATAACGGCAGCAATCAAGCTTTGGAGCTTATGATAATCTGGCCGACTAATAGTGATTCCGGGAATAATAAATAAACACCTGCTTGTCGAATCCTTTGAAGGTCTTCTGGCAATTTCGTCATTACCATTTCGAAACGCTTTAAACTGTTCCTGTTTTCCTGTTTTCTGTACGCATGCTCACTTATATTGCAACCTGTTTACAGAACCACAACTCATAATGTCTCCCCTTTTGCCAATCTTGTTGCAGATCTCCAGTCAATTCGACGTCTCCTGGAGCACGATGCCAGTGGATCCGTGTGCCCCTCCTGCCGCATATCCTTCGACAAGGGAAAGAGACGGAAACTGATCGACACCTGCGGCCACGAGCGCTGCTATTCCTGCATGTTCCGCAACGATCAGTGCCCCATGTGCATGAACAGCTCGCTGAAAGGTGAGTCCCCAGCTCCAGCCAGGTCCAGCCAAGTCCAGCCAGGTACTCCTCAGTATCTGCAGATATGCTGTTTAATGTGTATCTCGCCGGTTTTTCATTTACTTTTCGCATATCTCTCGGATATGCCATATGAGGCTGGCAAATATTTTGTTACATGTCGAGTGCAAAATGCCGCGGAAATTGCACTGCGACCATAATAATACCCGGTGTGTTGTTTTTTATGCGGAGGAATGCTGAAACAAATGGATACTTAAGTGGTTGCAGATACATCTTTAATTGGAGTGAGAAAAGGGTTCAACAAATTTAATAGTTTTGAGTTATTTTTAAAATGGTATGGTTGAACCCCTTATTTTATTTTTATATATGTTTTAAAATATTGCAGACAGAAAGAACTATATGTAATAATAAAATAGGGGATTTTGATATTCAATATTTTAGTGAGAAAAGATAAAGAAAATACGTTTTATATTATCAAGTTTGTGGCAATATAAAGAATAATCATTTAATACTACAGTAAGTTAGTAAGTTTCTATATGATATATATTCTTTAGAATATTAAGCAATAATAATTCCAAATTTACCAAGCCTTAAATATGCATTTCAAAGAACTCTCAAACTTGCAATCGTTAGCTTAATTTATTACCCCTTAGAATTCAGTCTGCCTGGCAATTTCTTCTGTCGTTCAAATAGCGGTTCGAGTTGCAAATGCAGCTACTGATCGTGTGATACCTGTTCTTGGCATACTCACCTTTTGTTTCTGGAAAATTAATATTCAAATTGTGTACAAATTGCTTGGCATGCAGGGTTCGTATTGTCGGTTAACTTCATAAAAATAAGAGGCCCACTCCTACCGGTTACATGCCCATGAAAAACGAAAGTTATGTCCGTATTTAGTGGCTGACACGATTAAAGTGGCCCAACTCCCTGGCTGCCACTGGATTTATTGGCTGCCAATCGTACACGATCGTGTCACCTGCTCTCAGCCCTCTGGCTTCTCCACAATTTACGATCTGTCCACAGCTCCAATTCCAGTGGATCGCCTCTTTATTTATGATCAGGGCTCTGCTTTATTTGCATACCTAATTAAGTGATACAGTTCGTGGAATGGAAATTACCTCAACCAGTAGTGGATGTGGTTACGGTATTTAGATGGGATAATTATGTGGGGACTTTAAGAAAGAGCACTTTAAAAATGATTGCGATCACTTTTACAAAGTTTGAAACAATGTTTTTAATAAGAAAAACTGTTATTACATGCTTGAAATATTTAGTTAAACCCTTGAGAATATTTTTGATTACTGCATTATACATTTTCAATCTTATTGGTAAATTAAATATTTGAATTCCTCAACAATGGCATTACAATTTAATTAAATTTAAAAAGAAAGAAATGAGTAGGCAATTTATCTTTATTTACAAATCATTTCTGTTTATTTTGCTTGAGTTTCGAACAGGGAAATTTAGCACGATACTTTTCCCAGCGATTCAATAAAGATTCACGAGTTCCCGATGACTTCTTGACCCACATCCATCATCTTCGACCCGCTGCACGCGGCAGGAAAAGCGTCTCTTTCAAGGGCCACACATGTGTGCCACTTTTCACTCGGCTTTTTGCACTCACACATTTCCACAATTAAACTTTGCAATTTTTCCCCGTTTGTGCGTTTGTGCAAACATTTCTTGACTTGATTACTAACATGGTTTTGCATTTGTTTTATGACCTTTTTTTTTCTGTTGTTGCAGATGTTGATGGCGCCAACGCTCAGGGCTACGACACCGGAATCGGTGGATCCACATCGACGATTGTGAGTCCACTCGGATCTCCGCAGCCGCAACTCAGATCGCATGCGCAGCGGAACGCGGCTCTGGCGCGCTACATGCAGGTGAGTACTTACCCCCTGATCCCCCGAAATGCTCCCCGAGATACTCCCCGAGATACTCCTCCTCAAAAAGCCATCACACTCAGCTTCGTCATAAAGCAAACAGTGATGGAAAGTGTAACTGCTTAACAAGGTACACTATATACATTTTCCAAAGAAAAAGCCAACCGAAAAATATAAATTTATAGGTACAATAAAGAACGTTTAAAAGGAAAAAACCTTTCTGAAAATTTAGAAATAATTTAAAAAGGAAGGAGGAGTAAAGAACCTAATACTTAAAAAAATTGTATAAATATTTAGGAGAGGTTAGTTCTTTGTAATGTGCATATATCTTATAATTATAGATTTTTGTAGAACTAATTTCTTTAAAAATTGGCAATCTTGGCATAATTTTTTATATCAGAGAATAAAATAGAATATTTTAGATAACTATAAGTGGGAACGTACCTCCACAATATTATTTGAATTTGTATTTACACCTTTAATTACATTTTGTAAGTTACCTAGATAATTTTATTTTCTAGCATTTTTTTGAATTAAACATAAACTTTAAATATCAGATTAAATACCTAAACAAAAACAACATAAACTGTACATCACCCAGCAGTTTATTCTCTTCCATATTGTACCTAACCCACGTAAAATGAAAAACAGTACCCTTTCATATCACTGACAAGCGATTTGAGGTGGGAACGAAGGGGTTTCGGCGTCGTCTTTAGTGTGTTTACTTTAATGGCCTCTTGATTATGCTGCCACTAGAGATGAAGAGACTCCATCAAATAAATGGAAAAGCTGCGGGGAAAGAGAAGAAAGGGCATCGAAATCAACGCAGCAGAATGGAAAAGAGAAAGAAATCGCTTTTATAATCGCCTTTTTGTCGGTGATGCGACTTTTGTTATATATCTCATCGACTCCCATTTCCGCTCATCTTTCTAAGCGCCTCTTTTGTCGCCCATTTGGGTTATCAGCGCCACTTTGACACAATTTCCATAAGAGTTCCAGTTCAACAAAAAAATTCAGGGGAAATCGTAGGCGGAACACCTTTTTGGGCTTTGAAATTATGTTAAAGCTCATAGTTGATCGTAAAACGGTTTAATCTGCTTTTAATCAAGTCATAAAAGAGTGTGAACCAATTTGTTTTATTTAAAATACGGTTTTTAGGAGTCATTATAATAGAATTGTTCTTTTCTGGGTGGCACTAGAAAGCTTTTAGTAGGGTAAGATGGGGTAAAACCGCCGGTGGGTAAAACCGCCATTTGGATTTCAAATTCAAATGAAGCGCCGAAACGATTAACCGTTGATAATGTAGATTCTGATTGATAATGCGCGGTTTTTGAAGTCGGTCGGAATACTGCAGCTTTATCGTGACAATTTCTATAGCGCCATTTTTGTTTCACTCGACGGCGCCAAAAAATTTTTGTTATAAAGATTGCTCAATCAAGTGTAAGTGAACGGCTTAAAAAAAAAGAGGTAAGTGTCCGCTTATAGTACGAACCTTGATACTGATGTACATGTATCAAGTTAGCCAATATTTCCAAAATTGTACAAACTAAGTGACCTCGAAAAAAAATTGGCGCGTGGGGTAAAAACGCCGCGAAAAGGTGGGGTAAAAACGCCACACAATTTGATAACGGAAAAACTCGTTTTAATCGAGAATGAATGTCTTTCACCATCCTGCCTCGCAAGAAAAAAATCAAAAATTGATGAAAATATATTTCAACGGGCAATCGAGGAAGTTCAGGAGGGCAGCAAGGTGGCAGTTGCTGCCGAAAAATATGGGATTCCCCGAGAGACTTTGCGAGACCGAGTCAACAAAGCGCACAACGCTTATTATGGCCATCATCCCCAGGTAAAGTGTCAAATATTCACAATTTTTGTTAATTGAAACAATATGTAATGTCATGATTTTGAATTCAATTCAATTTAAAAATAACAGCCTTTCTTTTTGAACAGATAATTGCAAACAGTTTTGTATAAAATGATTTTATCTTTTAAATAAGAATATTTTAATTTTCAGTTTCAAACCTTTGTTAATGCGACATTTCTTCTTAGTTTAAAACTATTTTAACCACGTAATTCTTATTTTACAGATTTTTACTGACGACCAAGAGGCATCGCTTGAGAAATATCTCATAAAAGCATCAGCTATATTTCATGGTTTCTCTCGGACAGCAGTTCGACGACTTGCTTATGACTTCGCTTCAATTTCTTATTTTTACTTTTATATAATATATTCGTTGTAACATGTAATATCCATTTGAATTGAATAAAAATTTTTCTCAGAAGTTATTGACATTATTTGGGTACTTAACTACACTAAAACCAGAATGGCGTTTTTACCCCACTAGGTGGGGTAAAACCGCCGTTTTAAACTTTTCTTCTGAACGATCACAATTCTTTTAAAAAAAAAGCTACATAAAAACTTTCTTAATGAATTATGTAGCCAAGGGATTAAACTTTCAGAAATATGATTTGGATCATTGATCATTTTATAAATGAAAGCTTGACATCGTCAAATATACATTTTTGGCGGTTTTACCCCATCTTACCCTAATATTCTGATAAAAAGAATATTAAAACGACAAAATTTTAAAAGAATATTGACCTGGTTAAATAGCTGAGTTTAATACTTTCCTAGAAATATTTTAAATATACTAAAAAATAAACTCACTCGCTTTTTAAATACGTTAAGTAGCCGTCGTTACTCCGCAAAATTTTCGAGAAATCAGCAGCCGTTGGCGAACCATCTACAAAACAATTACAACCATCACTTTCCTCTTAATTAAATGAATTTGATTTAAGCACAACGATAGCGGTGGCTCTTCCCACTGAACTGATCGTCTGGTCGATTAACCAGCAGCCATGGCTTGTATCATAGATCACTGGCTGCTCCTCCTCCACCACGAATCCTCTCGAATCTTTTCCATCGGGATCATTGCCGACCGACTGTCAGCAAATGTCACTTTAAATACGCCAAAACGGCGCAAAAGTTTCAATTGTCGGGCGCCGTTGGGAGTCAATTCTTGAGGATTGCGAGGATCAGGGATGAGGATGGGGATCGGAACGAGGATGGGGATGAAGTTGGGGGGCTGGAGAAGATCGCCGGTGCCAGATAGCTTGTCTGGCAGGATGCAGTCGCCGCAGAAGTAGCTGCAAGATACTCGAACCCGCAGTCGTATCTCATATCTGCGCTTGTGTATCTCAAAGCGACTGTCAAATGGTTAAACTGACAGTTTGTTTTTCCACCGCTCGACGGCAGACAAAGTTGGGCAGAAGCCGAAGTAGTTGTGGTAGTGGCAGTCGTGTGGAGCAGGAGGAGCAGTTGGGGAACTCTAGATCCGCAGATGGAGATGAAGATGGTATGGCGATGGAGGGAAACTGGGTCACTCCGGCGGACGACCGTCGCCTCGGGCTCCCGACCATCGTCCAGTGTCTTCTGCTTTCTAAGCCAGGCCAAAATACCCACTTTGCACGGAGCAAAAAAATTATAACTATATCGGAAAAACAATTCTATCTCAGGGAAAGAATTATAAAAAATTTCTGAAAATAAACATATAAAAAGTAAATAAAACATAACATTTAAAATCTTTATTTATGTGATTTGTATTTCACAAAATTCTTATCTACAAAATATAAAACATCTTTAATAAAAAATCTAATACAGTAATTTATACAATTTCTTAAACTATTTTTGTCTCTGCATAATATTTTTTTCTCGCAGCTTATTTATTTATAAACATTTGCAAACGCTGAAGTATTTATTTCATAGCGATTCTCAATTGATTTCGGTCTGGGGGCTGAGCTTCAGTTTTCAGTTTTCGATTTCAATTTCGGCTGGGGTTGTATTTTTTGTAGTTTTCGGGTTTTTTTTTGGCTCTCTGACACGTGACATGGGATTTCACTTAAGACTTTAATACTCGCACATAAGCAAACATAAACGTGCCAAGTCTTTCGGACACATGACATGGACATGGATGTAAATTTTGGCCGCGGACTCTGATCCGACAGCCAAAAAGGACGGACTAGACAAACAATGCTCCACAAGTCGGGAGAGATCGGCGGTGATCTCAAATCCGACGTGTAAATTGATTTCTAATTATTGTCATATTGTAAAGCCAAAAGATTTGATTTGATTTTTTTGCGAAAGTAGCAAGTGATTATGGGATTTATGTAAAAGAGAGAGGCTTTTATTGAACTGACAATTTATAGGATTTAAATAAAAAAAACTTTAAACTTTATTTGGGTTATTTAAATAAAGTATTTATATATCAATTGTTTTCCGTTTACAATTTCCACATAAAAACGTTTAGATTGGCGCTTCCCAAGATAACATTTAATAAACAAAGCCCACATTTGTTTCCTATCCCCAATTTGCCTGAATTAATCAAGCAAAGCTAGCAGACAGCACGCCATATAACACCATCGATCGTAAAATCATAAAATGCTCGACACCTAAGTGCCATTAAGTCGAATACACAAACAAGTCGAAGCCTTTGAAAATGCCAGCAAAGAAATGACCAAGAAAGAAAGTTTCCTTTTACAATCGCGTCTGATTAATACGACTCGTCGCGATACTTTTGGAATCAGTTTGATTTGATTTGATTTGATTCGACTTGATTTGATTTTGAGATGAGTCGAGATGCGCCCGGAAAAACTTGCTCAATGCCTGGCAATTTATGTGAATTGAGTTTATGGCCGGAGAATGAGTGCCAGTCTCTGTTTTGGCCGCAAAAGTGCCGGAGTTGCCTTGATTTTCCATTTTACATTTTCCATTTCTCCGCGATCGCGATCGATATGATGTGGATATGGTTATGCTCGCGATACTCGAGTGTCGGAAGTGTGTCAGCTAGCTGGTTGTTTGCCGGCCAACGAGCACTTTACATAACTATCTATCTATCTAAGCCAAACCAGAAGTCGTTTAGGCAATTGCCGATCAGCCGGCCAGTTGGTTGGCTGCCCCAAGTGAGGTGTGCTGGGGCTGAGAACTGTCATTAGATTAAGTG